AACTGGGCTCCTAATGGAGCCTCCTCCTCTTGGCTTTTGTACATCTGGAAGCTTCTGCAGATGCCTCTGCACAGCTGCATGCACTCCTGCCACAAGAAACCAGCTCTCTTTTTCTTTTTACAAGGAGTGAAAGCAGCCTAAATGGCCACAGCAACTGCTTTGGGTTCTGAGACAAACAGACTCAGCAGCTGCTGAAAATAAGGGGATACGAAGTCCTTTCGCAAAGGCCATTATCTACATCCCAGAGGAGTCCCTTTACTCTCCTTTCCCCTGCAGGCCCCTCATTATATGACCTTGCTGAGTATCTGGGAAGCAGCTGCATCTGCTGCCCTGAAAGCAGGCAGGATCCCGCAAGTGACAACATGAATAAGGGAAAAATAACGAGGCTGGAATCCAAGTGAAGGCGTGAGGTCTCAGCCTGCCCTGCCAGGATGTAGAAGAGAAGGTCTTTGACCCAGAATTCTGCCTCTAGGAATTTAGCACATAGATATTCTTACACAATTGCATACAGACTTGAGGATGAGATTATTGACTGCAGTGTAGATCGTGATTGACGACAATGGGAAAAAATGGCCAATAGGAGGTGACTGAATAAAACAAATCCGGCCTCGCTAGTGGTGCGAGGGGTTAAGTCTCAGCACTAGGAAGCTATTGGCAGCCAATGCAGCACGAGTTTGATCCCCAATCAGCAAGATAACCCACATGGCGCAGCAAACCTCTCCTGTCTCACCCCCTGCTCCCCTCAGCAGTGTATTTCAGTCAGTCCACCTGTTCTATTCCCCACTCTGTCTCTGGTGAATCCTCTCACCCCCACACCTCTGGCCTGTACTCCAATTCTTGTATGCATAAATAAATCTATCTTTAAAAAATAAATAAATTAAGGTATATTTGAACAATGGGACGCCCTGTGCTCTTGCAAGGAACAAGACCCATCTTATCTGTGCTGAAATGGGTCTTCTTCCAGGTAAATTATTAAGTGAAAAATACAAAGTACAGAACAGTTTGTCTTGTATACTCTAGAAGAGGGAAGATGTGTTTTCATGTATATTCATACAAGCATCTTTTGTTATCCAAATCTTGGTTTCTGAATGCAGATGTCAAGGGTTCAGAAAGCAAGGGATGCTACTTTATTGGAAACTTTTGTTTCAGACAACAAATAACAAATAGTTTGTCTAAGAGGTTTATCTGAACTCATTTGGCTCTTGAGTTGGAATAGAGTTTGGAAAACAGAGTTGATGGTAGGGATGCCCGTGGATGTGCTACTCTCATGCCCTTGTGGATGGATTTCTCTGGAAAGATATCCAGGAAATTGGTCAGTGAGGGCTGCTATGGAGACTATTTCAGCCCTAAGGGAATGGGTTAAAGGGAATCTTATTTTTCAGTTTACATATATGTTGTGATTTTAAAACACAGCCTCCAAATTCTTTAAGAGCTGGGGTCTGTGTCCACACCTGATTAATCAGAGCAAGTCTGCATCTGCTTAGGATGGATACAAAGGTGGAAATGTCACTTTAAGGCTAGATTGTAAAAGGTCCGACAGCTACATCTGGCTCTCCTGGCTCAGTGGCTCTGGGATGCTCTTTAACAGATGCCAGCCTCAAATCTGGGAGAAGCCCAAGCCACAGTCATATGGAGTGGCCCACGTAGACACTATGATGCCATCTGAGTTCCAGCCCACAGCTGATATCACATGGCAGCCATGGGAGTGAGCCACCTGGGGACCTCAGCTCCAGTCCAGCAGAACACTCCCCAGGTTACCACATAACACCAGAGACCCACAGTGAGAACCACCCACCTGAACTAAATCAGCACACAGAACTGAGGCAGCAATACATGCCCTAAAGTGCTATGTTTTGGAGTGTGGGGTGTGTGTGAACATTAATTGGAATATACATAATCACAAGTATAACCTATTCAAAATGAAGTGCATCTTCTTTGCATATATAGAAAAGATGGTACCAAATATTAAATGTGCACCATCTCATTTATTCCTCACCAGATACTATATATTTTTTAAAGATTTATTTTATTATGCGTACAAGAACTGGGGTACAGGCCAGAGGTGTGGGGGTGGTAAGAGTATCTACCAGAGTGGGGAACAGAACAGGTGGATTGGCTGAAATACACTGCTGAAGAGAACAGTGGGCGAGACAGGAGAGATCTGCTGTGCCATGTGGGTAGCTCCTTGGATGACCGGGGATCGAACTCGTGCTGCAGAGGCTGTAGACAGCTTCATAGGTTGAGTCTTAACCCCCTGCGCCACCAGGGAGGCCCCAGGTACTATATTGTTTCCATTTCACAGGTAAGAAAACTGAAGTTCCAAGGGGCCCTTTGTTACATGATCACAGTTCCTAAGAGGCAGAAGACAGACAAAGAACTAGGGGACCTCTCAGCCCTACAGCTAACAGTCACTTCCTCCTGGGACCTGTTCTCAGTCCTTGTATGCTGGGCTCCTAACTGCCCTCTGAGAGGGGTTTGGAATAGGTAAGGGGCCAGGCCGACAACACAAAAGAGTGAGGAGGGTCCAGGGGAGTTGCTGGAGCATCCCTGGGAAGGTCAGCTCAGGTGAGCAGATCTATTCTGTTTTAATATTTGCAACTTTTTTTTTTAACTTCGCAGACGAAAGGCAAAACAAAAACAGAAGCCCAGCACTACTGATTTGCCTCCCTGGAGCTAGATCTCCAAGGAGTATTGGGCTCAGACAGCTTGAATTTCAACAGAAGCTCTCTGGGGAGACAGTGCAAATTCTAATTCCCAAAGTCTCCGACCTGGGATTGGAGAGGAGTGGTGAAAAACGAGGTTCCTAGCATCTCCCCCACACCCTTTTCTGCTATCTTGGAGAAGCAGGGCCTCCCCACTGGGAGGGCAGCCCAGACTATGATCTATCAACTGCCATAACCTGCCTGCTTCTGGGGCTGTCAGTGCTCCCTGGAGCTATGGGTCAGAGCAGCTGGGGAACTGGGGAGGCTGAATTTCCATTGCAATGGCATTCCCCCCCCCCACCCCGCAACACCCCACCTTCCACACACACACACACACACACACACACACACACCAGGGACCTCTATCACTCCTACTCACCCCACTGCTTTTTCAAAAGGAATCCTGTCCCTTCTCTCCTCCCTTCCCCCTCCTCAGCCAAGGAAGGGACTGATACAGTCCTTGGCTGTTTTTCTGGGCCTCCTCCCCTATCCCCAAGTCCCTCCTAGGCGTATGGGCCATTCCATCTTCAGCTGCCCAGTCGGTTTTCCTGTGAGATAGCCTGGCAGAGCGTGGCGGAGTGATGGATGAGCTGAGAGTCTCTGGCTGGCAGGCAGGTGGGCAGCCAGCCAGAGTCATGACTCTCACAAGAGAGAGCGTCCACAGGGAGAAACACAGCTACTGGTATGCTCCTGGGGCTCCCTGCTGCCCGGGATGATGTGGGCCCACTCTGGGCAAAGCAGAGAACCACGAGATCCCATGGGTATGGACTGGCACACACAGTCCCTTAGTTCTTGTACATTCTTCCTCTGAAACAGACCCAAGGACAGGAAGACAGCCAGACATCTGGCGATCAGTCCAGGTGATTATAATTTGTTCATTCATTCATTCATTCATTCATGTACTCTGAAAGTCTACTACAGCCATGTTGGGGCACAACGTAAATCATCCAAAACCCCTCTGGGTTCTTCTGGGCTGACAATCAAACAAGAATCAGACAGACTAATAAGAGAAAAAGTCAAAGACATTTAATAACATCTGTACCTCCTGTCTACACCCACATGGCTTCAGATGCCATCTTAAATAGTAGCTAAGACAGGGGAGGAAAGGGAAGTTCAGCTAAAGAGGTTAAGGTAGACACAACAAAGAAAGGCATGCAGATTGATGTTCTGCCTTCACCATTGAAAAGTTAAAGAGGGCCTCCCCGGTGGTACAGCGGTTGAGCGCTGGGTTGCGAAGCTGCCCGCGGCCTCTGCGGCACCAGTTCGATCCCCGGCTGCTTCCCGGCCACCGGAGGAGGGTCCCACATGGCGCGCAGACCTCTCCTGCCGCCCGCTGCTCCCCTCAGCAGTGTGCTTCGGTCCTTCTGCCTATTCTGCTCTCCACTCTGGCTCTGGTGAATTCTCTCACCCTCCCGTGCTTCTGACTGTGCCCAGTGCTTGTATAAACAAAAAACAAACAAATAAATAACATGCCTCTGAAAAAAAAAAAAAGTTAAAGAGACTGGGTCTTCACAGTACAGTGAGAGATGCCCTCAGAATGTAAATGTCTTTCAAAAACAACCTCCACCCAGCCTTCAGAGCCCCTCCCATGAAATCAACCTTTTTGCCAAAGACATATTTTGGGGTGGCAGCTTTTTGCTTCCCCACAGCATTAATACATCATCGTAATTCCCGTGTGGTCTTGGAAGGCAGGCAGTTTGAGCCCAGACTCCATAACTTTCTAGCTGTGTGACCTTGGGCAGATAACTTCATCTCTCTGAGCTGCAGCTTAGCTCTCTCAGGGTCGCTGCTGTGAGATTCAGATAATACATGTAAATCACTTAGACCAGAGCCTGACATATAAGAGATCAGAAAATTCTTTCCTTCATTTAACAACCAATAACTAAGGACTTCTGATGTGCCATGTTCTGGGGTGACAACCACAAGCAAGGCAGAGAGGACCCCAGTTCTGCAGTTTACCTTTAAGAGAAGACTGACAATAAATAACTGGATGAACAAAAACTGAAATACCAGGTAGGAGGGGTGAATAATGGTGGGTAATGTTAGGGAAAGGTCAGCGAAGCATGAAGATCACTCCAGGAGATGACACTGGAATTGAGTTTGGATGAGGAAAAACAGCCCAAGTGTAAATCTGAGGAAACAGCATAGTAGGCAGAGGGAATAGAACATTAAGTCCTGGGGCAGGAACAAACCTTGCAATAACAATCAGGAAAAGGAGAGGCCACAGAGAAAAAGAGAGGCAGAGAGAGTAAGAAACATTAGGGGAGGTACCATGCACCCTGCCCCAATAATACGCGGCTGCCTTAGACTACAGGGCCCGGGGTACTACTGGGAGTGAGGGGCAGAGCTGAGCAGCTAAGTGAAGCTGCATAATGTGGAAGGCAGGTGTTCTCTGGGGAAGAGGAGAGCTCTTGTTCCTACAGACTTGCATCCTCATGCCGCAGGGGAGGAGACATGGAAGCAGAGAGAGCTGGGAAGCCGACAACAGCAGCAGGTACAGTGATGTGGTATTTCCTTTTGCCTCAGCTGTCTGGGCCCTGCTCCAGAGCCCTTTTCCTATGTGTTACAGGGAAGAGTTGGAGTGTAAGACTGAGTTGTAGAGGTGACGGTATTCACCAGAGACAGAATGGAGGAGAGAAAAGGGAGATTTATTGAAATACGCTGCTGAGAGGAGCAGCAGGTAAGGAGAGTTCCTCTGTGCTGGGAGAGGGGCTGAGGCTCTTTTTATATTTCAGGCACCCGGTGACTGGCTAGGATATCTGGCCTTGGGCAAGTCAGGAGTCATGATTTAGATTATCAGCTTAATGGCCCAGTTCCCAGGGCAGTTCCATCCACTCCTCTTAACCATTTAAGCCTCCCAAACTTACTTGCTGGGCAAGGAGTGGGACTTAGGTTTTTTTTTTTTTTAAAGATTTATTTATTTATGCATACAAAAGCTGGGGTATAGGCCAGAGATGCGGGGTGGGGAGGCGGGGTGAGAGGATTCACCAGAGAGTGGGGTACAGAATAGGCAGACTGACTAAATACACTGCTGAGGAGAGCAGCAGGAGAGTCAGGAGAGGTCTGCTGCGCCATGTGGGTAGCTAGCTCCCTGGCCGGCCAGGGGATTGAACTCGTGCTGCAGAGGTTGAGGATTTCTTTATAGTGTGGTGCTTAACCCCTTGCGCCACCAGGGAGGGCCAGGGACTTAGTTTTTAACATTGGTAATGATATGTAATACTGTGGTTTCCTGTCAAAAGGTGCTTTAGGCTTATGGCAACCTTTCAGCTTCAGCGACCCTGCCTCATGCTAACCCTGTTTGGCTGGTGTAAGGGCAGGTGTAAGGGCAGGAAATGACCACAGTGCAGATTTTCTCATCCAGCAGACCTGGTAAAGGAGGAGTCAGAGTCCTCAGTGGGTTTTTGCAGCTCTTTTATTGGGGTTCACCAGGCATATGGCAGGCAGGGGTGCTGGGGGGCCGGGAGATTGGCAGGCCTCTCAGCCCCCAGCAAATCCTCACTCTATCTGGGCTCTCTGGCGTTCTCTGCTTCTGCTGCTGCTGGCGTCCCCGTGACGCCGCCCTTAAAAAGCACAGTCTTAGCCCAAGTGAATCCCATCTACCTATGCCCACACCCTATTCCAGGTGCCCGCCATCAGGCATGCATTCAGGACCGCAAAGATCCATCATCTATCCTGATGGCGGGAGGGCAGAAAAGCCTGACATTTTTCCTTAGCCTACAGTCCACCCCCTCAGGGTTTTCTGCCATATAATCCACACATACACAACTTTGTTTCTTAGGAAACACAAACAATGCAGCCATGGCCCACAAAAGCAAATACATCACAATATAACAAAATACAACAGAACACAAATAAGTCCAGGCAGGGCCACAACCTAGTGCAAAAGACAATTATTGGTACCAGCAGATGAGCCACCACATCTGCTGCCGAAGGCACTGCTCATACGAGGGAGGGGAATCACTCACAGCATCTACTGTAACACACCAGGTGCCGTCAGCCTTCCTGGCCTTCTCTGGCTGCAGTCTCGGCTACAAGCCACACACAGCATCCACCCCCAGGATGCACTCACTCTGGGACTGGCAATTCTATACTGTTGGGGGTAATAGTCAACCCTCAGGGTTTCTGTCTGCAGTTGCTCCAACACTCGGCCTTCATAGCCACCAATGCGACTCGCAGACCCCTGCACTCAAGCCAACCCACTGCACAAGCACATGGGTCGGGGATCCAAACTCTACATGTGTCTTGGGCTCCACCCCAAGTCATGTTCCCCACCCCCAAGGACGGGTTCCTCAGCTCCTCACCCTCACTCAGGAACGAGCAGGGCATCACCCACAGGTGATTTTATGAGACTCACAGGGCTTCAGCATACTCAGGCTGCTTAACAGCCACTCAGGGCTTCTCAACTTAGCATCAGGACCAGCTTTTGCCTTCTCAGTTGGCTTTTCTCCTCCACCTGGCTGCTGGGCATACACAGGCTGCTTTTGGCCATCAAGACCCACTGGCCATCCCCAGGTTCCCATCTCCTGGGGTTTACAAACAAAACTGTTCCACCCACAGGGTCCCAAAACATATCAACCTGCAAGGTCCTCCGCCTTCTGGCGGGATTGTCAATCCAAGTTTAATTGTCAGTCCATCAGTCCAAGTCTCTTGGCCTCTCCCTGAATGAGCACTGGCAAGCTCCAAATCTTGGTCCTCTCTTTGCCGATGATTCTTGCTGCCTCAGGGGTCTTTGGCTGGTCCTGTCGGGTGTCGTTGGCTGGTTCTCTTGGGCATCTCCTTCTCCTCCTCCGGGCGAGGTCTTATCCCGTAGATCCTGGACATTGTCCATCTCCTGGGTCACCATGATGCCTCCGGCGTCGTCACAGGCAGTCTTTTACTCCTTAGTCCCTCCAGGTCTTCGGAGGGCTCCATACTCGTCTGCATGGATCATCTTGCCGACTTACGCCAATTGTAGGGGCAGAACTGGACATGGTGCAGGTTTTCTGATCCCATGCAGACTGGGTAAAGGAGGAGTCAGAGTCCTCAGTGGTTTTTTGCAGGTCTTTTATTGGGGTTCACCAGGCATATGGCATGCAGGGGTGCTGGGGGGCCGGGAGGCTGGCAGGCCTCCCAGCCCCCAGCAAATCCTCACTCTATCTGGGCTCTCTGGCGTTCTCTGCTTCTGCTGCTGCTTCTCAGCTTCTCTCTCGGCTTCTCTTTCGGCTTCTGCTGTTGCTGGCGTCCCCATTACGCCGCCCTTAAAAGCCCAGTCTCAGCCCAGGTGAATCCCATCTACCTATGCCCACACCCTACTCCAGGTGCCCGCCATCAGGCATGCATTCAGGACAAGGATCCATCATCTATCCTGATGGCGAGAGGGCAGAAAAGCCTGACATTTTTCCTTACCCTACAGCAGGACTGACCACTGAGCAGGTTATCTAATCCAGCAGACGGGGTAAAGGAGGAGTCAGAGTCCTCAGTGGTTTTTGCAGCTCTTTTATTGGGATTTACCCCGTAGAAAGCAGGCAGGGGTGTTGGGGGGCCGGGAGGCTGGCAGGCCTCACAGCCCCCAGCAAGTCTTTTTTTTTTTTTAAGATTTATTTATGTATTTATACAAGCACTGGGTACAGTCAGAAGCGCAGGAGGGTGAGAGAATTCACCAGAGCCAGAGCGGGGAGTAGAGCAGGCAGAAGGACCGAAGTACACTGCTGAGGGGAGCAGCGGGCGGCAGGAGAGGTCTGCGCGCCATGTGGGACCCTCCTCCAGTGGCCGGGGAGCAGCCGGGGATGGAACCGGCGCTGCAGAGGCTGCGGGCAGCTTCGCAACCCAGCGCTCCACCGCTGCGCCACCAGGGAGGCCCCCCAGCAAGTCTTTACTCTATCTGGGCTCTCCGGTGATCTCTCTCTCTCGGCTTCTGCTGCTTCTTTCTCAACTTCTCTTTTGGCTTCTACTGGGGTCCCCATGACGCCGCCCTTAAAAAAAAAGCACAGTCTTAGCCCAGGTGAATCCCATCTTCCTATGCCCACAGCCTACTCCAGGTGCCCGCCATCAGGCATGCATTCAAGACCGCAAGGATCCATCATCCATCCTGATGGCAGGGGGGCAGAAAAGCCTGACATTTTTCCTTACCCTACAGCTGGGCATTTATCTATAAGGGGACAAGTAATCTTGGGTATTTTATTGAGACATAAATACCCTCTCTTCTCTCTCTGTGCACACTAATTCTATTAAAAAACTTTCACACTGAGAGCTTGGTCTGTCTTTATGTGAAGGATGACAGAACCCTATTTTGGAATATGCAAGTTTGAGGGTCCCTGGGTAACCTTTGGTAGCACATACTAACAGACTGACACACAGAGAGAGAGATAGAGGTAGAGAGTGAGGCCAGTGTAGCTAAAACAGCAGAGAGGTACGTTAAGATAAGCTCGGAGACCTGGACTAGACCAGAATAGCAAGGATTCCTAGGATGGGATTTTATTTTAAGCACAGTGGGAAGTAACTGCCTTTTTGTTTTATTTTTTGGTCTACATAGTTTAAAAAAAAAACCACAACAACACTCAAAGCTGGTTGCCAGCATTTTAAACTGGGAAATTGCATGTGGAAGAAGGAGGATGAGTTGGGCAGCTCCCGGGTACCTTGGACCAAGACCGGAGACAAAGTATATTGGGGATGATTTGAGAGGCAGCGGGGACAGGTCTTTTGCTGCACACCAGGAGGGAAATCTAAATCAAAGTGTCCACGAGGATGCCTATGTTTTTCCTTTAAGCCACTGGCTGGATGGTGGTGCCATCTGCTGAGATGGGGCTGATGGGGGCGGGCTTTGGCAGCTCTTAAGGATGGTACATATTTTTCCTTCTGCCAGGAGTTGCTTACAGGAGGTGGTCTCTGTCCTTAAGAACTCCTTATTTGGGGTCCTCCCTGGTGGCACAGGGGTTAAGTCTCAGCACTATCAAGCTATCGCCAGCCACTGCCACATGAGTTGATCCTTGGCCAGGGAGGTGACCCACATGGCGCAGCAGACCTCTCCTGTCTCACCTGCTGCTCCCCTCAGCAGTGTATTTCGTCAGTCTGCCTGTTCTGTTCCCTGCTCTGTCTCTGGTGAATCCTCTCATCCTCCCACACATTTGGCCTGTACCCTGGTTCTTGTATAAATAAATAAATAAATAAATCTTTAAAAAAAGGAAAAGAAATAAAAAAAAATAAAAAGAAATAAAACTTAATAAATAAATAAATAAATAAATAAATCTTGGGCCTCCCTGGTGACGCAAGGGGTTAAGACACAACCTATGAAGCTATCCGCAGTCACTGCAGCACAAGTTCAATCCCTGGCCAGGGAGCAAACCACATGGCACAGCAGACCTCTCCTGACTTGCCCACTGCTCCTCAGCAGTATATTTTACTCAGTCTGCCTGTTCTGCTCCCCACTCTGTCTCTGGTGAATCCTCTCACACCTCTGACCTGTACCCCAGTTCTTGTATGCATAAATAAATAAATCTTTTAAAAAAATGAATCTTAAAAAAAGAACTTGTTGTTTGGTCAAGGAGTCAGAGAAATGAGCAGGCAGTGACAAATTGGTAGCTGTGTTAGGGGGAAAGGATGTCCTGCGCTAATCCCATGCAGGCTTTGTGGACTCCACCCCCACTCCAGACCAAAGCCATCAGGACATTGGGAAAGACAAATCCCGTCACCACCAAAGGGAAG